GTTCTATAGATGAGAAAACTGAGGCTCAGAGAGATTAGTTCAATTGGCCAGAGTCAACAGATAATATATAGCAGAGCCAGGATGTGGAACCGAGTCTGTTTGAAGCCCAAACTCCTGCCCTCACCCCTGTACTCTACTGCCCCTTGCCAGGAAACGAGAGACCCAGAAGTTTTGCCTCACCCCCAGACTCAGCCTGCAGCTCTACTACATCCCCGTGCTGGCGCCTGAGGTGGCTGGATCAGGGAGAGAGGGAGGGAGGGAGGGAAAGTGGGGGGTGGGGTGGGGGTGTCGGGAGCGGGTCTGGGTTAGGGGCTGGGCAGGGACCCACTGCAGCCTCGCATCCCCTGGCTCCGGGAACTGGGATCACCCTTCCTTGGGATGCGGAGCTGGGAGAGACCTGGAGGACTTCTGTTCCAGAAGCCACAGACGTGGGCCATGGGGGCTGAATATGGCCAGAGAGATGTTCTCTCACTGCCTACCCTTGGCTGGTTTTGTTTTGCTTTTCTAATGAAATTAATGTTCCTCAATAGGGGACACACACACACACACCCCACCCTTCCACTGGGGGATGAACCCACACTGGCAGTTTTTCATTTCTGTTGCCCATTCTGCTTCTGACTGGGAAGCGTGAAATTCAAAGCAATACTTGTCTCTTCCCTTTTAAGGCTGAGGATCAGTTTCAGTGTCCCTGGCAAGAGTCCTCAGTGATGGGTGTTCTGGCTTCATTGGAGATGTGAAACAAGTCTTCATGGGGTGCAGAAATCCAGACCCCAGGAGGCTGAGTGATTTGGCCACATTTCCAAAGCTAGTTTGCCTAGGACTGGTACCTGAGGACCCTCCGAGCAGGAAGAGTGCTCGAGAGGGCTTGACAGGTCTGCCCCATGCCTTTGTCCCCAGAAGCCTGCAGCATCCAGGCATTTGGAGCTTGGAGAGCTGGCCACGTTCCTGGGCCGTGCAGACCCGTGGTATGAGAACACTATCAACACCCTGTGCCCTGCCATCCACAAGCTGGCAGAGATGGTAAGGCAGCAAGAGTAGGCGGGCAGGAGGGAGGTGGTGGTGGGCGGGTGTTTTCTTGACCCTTGACCTCAAGAGTCAGCCAGGGGGACCCCACAAGGGATGAGGCAGAAGGGGTACAATAGAGGAGCGCTGACCAGCTAGTGGTGGCTGGAATTCATTTGGAGCACCTACCAGGCACCTACCTATTTTGTGGTACCACTAAGGAGAAGTACACATTCTTTCTTCAGGGCCTAGGCCAATTGAATCCCTTCTTCTGTGAGTTTCCTGTGCTAGTTTCTTTTCCACTGTAACAGTTAGTGCTTCCTGAGCACTGCCGCGTGCCAGGCTCTGTTCTGAGCACTTCCACTTGGCAGGCCTACCAAGCAGGTACTCTTGTCTGTTGGCCGGTGTCATTGTTGCCACATCCCCATTTTACAGAGCAAGCAACTGAAGCACAAAGAGATGAGGTAATGTGCCCAAAGAAACAGAATGAGTGGTAGAGCCCCACCTGGGATCAGGCAGCTTGATTCCAGAGCTGTTTTCTTAACCACAAACCTCGTCCCCCAACCCCGTCCGTGGTGAGCAGGGAAAGTTCATCTTTTACTGATCTGAAAGACCTTCCTATCTGAAGAGAGTTTTACTCTTTCTGCTGTCCTGTGTGCTGCAGACATTTTTTCCCCACTGTTTTATTTGCCTGTCAATTTTGTCAGTAGTGGTTTTTTGACTTACAGAATTTTAATATTTTTACTTAGTCATACACAGCACTTTTATCCGTTATGGTTTCTGCCTTTAGAGCCATGCTTTGAAGGGCATTCTCCATGCTAAGATTAAATAAATAATTCACTGATAATTTACTCTTAACACTACTATTGTTCCAATGTTTACATTTAAATAACCTATCTGCAATTATAATTCCAGTATGTAATTTTATTTTTTCCAAGTGTTTAGCCAGTTGTCCTAAAGCTATTGCAAAAACCATCTTGCCCTGTCAATTTGAAATCTTTCATCACTTACTAAGTTCTTACATATGCTTGTGTTTACTTCTGGAAACCTATTCTTTCTCATCGATCTATTCATTTCTGTATAAATTAGCACTTTTATATTTTCATATCTGGCACGTTCTATCTACCCCATTATGCTTCTTTTTTCAAAACTTTTCAGACTACGCTTGTTTATCTTTCCAGATACATTTTAAAATCCCATTGTCAAATTTTATTTTTAGATTAAATGAAGTTTTAAATTAAATTACATTTTAAGTTAAATTCGATTGAAATTTGGAGAATTAACATCTTTAGCATATTAGGTGCCCTCTCTGGGAGCATGGTGTGACGCTTCATTTTTTAAAGTCTCCTTGTTTCTCCCTCAGTATAGCTGTAGAGTCTTCCTCACATAGCTTTTACCCATTTCTTGATAAATTTATTTTCTTGTGTCTGATGGTTTTTTCTTGTAGTTGTGGCTGTTATCCTTCTCCCATTATACTAGGGTAGCAGTGCTGCTAGTGTAAAAGGAAGCTATTGATTTTTATATGTTTACTTTGTTAGTATATTTTCATTGAAGTATAGCCAGTTTACAAGGTTGTGTCAATTTCTGGTGTGCAGCACAGTGCTTCAGTCATACAGGAACATACATGTATTTGTTTTCATATTCTTTTTCACCATAAGTTGCTACAAGATACTGAATATAGTTTCCTGTGCTCTACAATATAATCTATGTTTATTTTTTAACTGGCCACATTGTGCTTCGTTGCCTGATTGGTTAGGGCGTCCTCTTATATCTGGCATTCTAATAAAGATGCAGGAGGGAGCCATGTTTTCTGAATGACTGCTTATCTGAAAATGTCTCTGCCTTTACACGAGAGACTGTTTAGCTGGGTATTAAAATACCTTTTCCTCCAAACCTGGAGGATATTACAGGAAGAACAGCCGGTGCAGGTCTCACTTATGCTTCTCTGTTGGTAGCTTTTTTTCCCTATCAAGACACTTGTAGGATTTTAATTTTTTTTCCCTGCTCTCTTTCCCTTAAAATTAAGAACTTGTGTGGCTGTTATGCTTATTCCAAAAGCTGTTTCCACATGAAGAAACTGGAAGTTGTGTGAACAATGACAGCAGTGTTAGAATAAGTTCGTAGTTCCTCAGCATGACCTTTTTGAAGGGAACAATATTTTAATAGACCAGATGTGAAAATGAGGAGAGATATAATAAGATCGAATATGGGTGAAATACCCTGAGCTTCTTTCCTACTCTGATATTATCAGGCTCTGTATAGAACTTGTCTTTACCTAAAAAACAGAATGATTATGTTTCATCTTCATACGGGGTTGGAGAAGGCTTATGGGAGATGGCATTTCTATGTCATATCCCAATGATATTGAAATGTTAGTTAGTATTAACATATTCAGATGCCACAAGAACTCAAAGAGATACCAGATCTTCTGGTTCAAGCTCTCATGCCCAAGCTTACCTGGCTAGTGAGTAGCTCATCCAAACCAGGAACCCAATCCAGACTCTCTCATCATTACTTATACTCTAAGTATCTTGTCTACCACAGGCACCCAGCACCGTGCCTTATACACAGAGGTGCCTGGTATGTCTGTGTGCAACTGAAATGAATCAGAGCCCCTGAGATGGAGATTTGGACGGGTGTCTTTTATTATTATTATTATTATTATTATTATTATTATTATTATTATTATTATTAAAGTTTAGCTGATTTTAAATGTATTAGTTTCTGATGTAGAGAATAATGATTTTATTTTATATATATATATATATATTCTTTTTCATTAGAGGTTCTTACAAGCTATTGAATATATTTCCCTGTACTATACAGTAGTACCTTGTTGTTCATCTATTTTATATATAGTAGTTTGTATCTGCTAATTCCACACTCCTAATTTATGCCTCTCCCCTCTTTCCCCTCTGGTAACCATAAGTTTGTTTTCTATGTCTGTGAGTCTCTGTTTTATAAATAAGTTCATTTGTGTCATTCTTTTAGATTCCACATATAAGTGATATCATATGGTATTTTTCTTTCTTTTTCTGGCTTACTTCACTTATGACCTATGACAATCTCCAGGTCCATCCACATTGCTGCAAATGGCATTATTTCATTCTTTATGGCTGAGTAGTATTCCACTGTATAAATATACCACAACTTCTTTATCTAGTCATCTGTCCATGGACATTTAGGTTGTGCCCATGTCTTGGCTATTGTAAATAGTGCTGCTGTGAACATTGGGGTGCATGTATCTTTTCTCCTAGTGTATGTCCAGGAGTGGGATTGCTTGATCATGTGGTAACTCTAATTTTAGTTTTTTAAGGAATCTCCATATTGTTTTCCATAGTGGCTGCACCAAGTTACATTCTCACCAACAGTGTAGGAGGGTTCTCCTTTCTCCACACCTGGATGGAAGTCTTTAGATTAGAAGTAGAAATCGGGTGGTAGGAAAGGCGTGGACGGTGCTGAAGGACCAGCTGGGTTAGTGCCTCACACAGGGCATGTGGGGGCATTGGGGCTTCTCTGTTAAGGAAGTGGCTGCTCCCACAGTGGCATGGAGGGAGGTGGCTGAAGACAGTCTCTCTCCCTCACAGCCTCTCTCCCTGAACACATCCCGGACTATAGACCCCTTCATCCTGGATGTCATCACCTACTACATTCGCATGGGCACTCAACCCATCTATTTCCAGATCTACACAGTCAAGGTAAGCTTCGTACCCAGGGCTCCAAGGATACCATGGCAGCCTTCTGGACCCCAGGACCCCACACCCTAAATACCCAGGTTCTGGGTAAACAGGAGACCAGGGTGCAGGTCATTAACTGACCCAGATGCTCTTGGTTGTTAACTTTATCTTCTTACTCTCTGAGTGAGTCTGATCGTTACTGACTTCTAGAACCTTAAGTTCACGCAGAAGCAGATCTTCGTGTGGAAAGATTCTCTCCCCCGACACATCCTCCCCCTCCCTCTTGCCAACCCTCACATCCTACAGCAAAACTGCCCTCACCTCTGTTCCCCTCACCCCACAACCAGATTGGCTGCTTCTCCTCTGTGTCCTGGTGATGCCCTGGGCGTTGCTCTGGCACCTCACTGCCACTTTGTCATCTACCTGCAGATGCGTGTCCTTCCCAACAAGACTCTGAGTCCCTTGAGATAAGAGGCTATTCTGTGCTCATCTTTGAATCTCGTGCTGTTGACGCAGTAAAGTGTGTGTGTGTGTGTGTGTGTGAATCGAAGAATGGGTCAACGTGGGGCTGGCTGGGTGCAGTGGGTGTAGAGTTAGAGGCAGCGTGAGGTGGTAAGAAGTTCATGGCTTTGCGTCCTGGTCCCTCCGCGTGCTAGCTGTGTGGTCACCGGCCCCCTTACCTGTCTGACATTCATTTTCCCCATCTTTAAAATGGAGACAGTCATCTTCACCACAAGGTTTTTGTGAGAATTCAAGTGAACCGAAAGCTCTATGGAAAGCTGGGGGAAGGTGAGGGCACACGGAGGACACCAGGGCGGTGGTGGGGCCTGGGTCAAAGCCCCAGCTTTGCTGCTTGTGTATCCTCTCCAAGCAAGACAGGCAAGTTACTCAACATCTCCGAGCCTCCGTTTCCAGGTCGCCAAGGTGAAGCTAATGATACCCACCTCCTAGGGTGGCTACGGGGGTTGAATGAGATCGTGTATGTCCGGTACCTATCAGAGGGGCCGGCACAGTCTGTCTCAATGAAAAGGACTCTTGAGCCCTGCTCCCGCCTCCCGTTCACTCAAAGACCTGACCCACGTGCATCCCCACGGCACCTCTGCGGCACAGACTTGGACGTGGCTGTGTTATCCTGGAATTCACTTGGGGTCCAAATCTAGTAAAAAATCTAATGAATATGTGCTTGGCTCCCATTCCATGATGTAGGGGAGACCCCCTGAGATTTCTGTGATCGCCTGGGGACTGGTCTCTTGGCCGACCCTGCCTCCGGCTTCCTGCCTTCCTGAATTCTTATTCTTCCCTCTGCTTCCTGGTCTTCTTTGTCGCTTTCCTGGTTTTGACCTAAATGAGGGATTTAGGTACTTTCTTTAATTTCCAAAATACAAACCAAAACAACACAAAACAAGCCACTGAGGAGAGAATAAAGCCCTCTCAGGCTGGTAAAGAGCATGAACATCTCAGCAACGCAAATAACGTAACACGGAGGATCAGGCACCTGTCACTGCCCTTCAACCCAAGGCCCCCAGGAGACAGCGTAGCTGCGCGGAGCAGGGTTCATGGACTTGCTCTGGGGAGGGCCATGCACACCGTGAGGTCTTGAGGCTTCTTGGGAAGAGGCTGGTAGGAGGAACTTACTGTAGAATTTGGGTCCCTGGTAGGTGATTTGGGGGGTGGTTCCAGAAAGCAGGACTTTGCTCTGGATTGGATGCTGTCAGGAAGCAGCAGTAATTCTGACGGGGCACCCCAGGGGTAATTCTTTGATTCCAAGAAACCAGGGTTGCTCGTATTTGCAGGGATGGGAGGGTAAAGGGTGTGGCCTGCACAGTGTCCCGTTTTCCCCCAAGTTGGGATGAGACTATGTCTTGACCCATCATGGGCACGGAGGGGCCTTGACTAGTGATGTTGGCATCTGGGAAATTGTTTACTGTCAACAGAACATCAAGGCCTCTCCCCATCCCTGTGCTCAGAAATCCCGTGGCCACCCCTCTGTGGTTCCCACATCCTCCGTCTGGCCCCACCCACACCTCGCCCCTCCCTCTCTGCCCCTCTTCCCTCAGGAGCCACTGCTGCCCCCAGATTCCCTCCGACTCTCACCAGCCCTTCCCTCCTTGTGCTTGTCAAGGACCATCAGGTTGTCCTCTCTGGCCCTCACCCTTTCGCCCTCCTCTACCAGTGTCTACAAGAGATTCTATTACCCTCCCCATTAGACAGTAGTGGCTACAGGCAGTTTGGGTTTCAGTAAATTTCTTCCACTCTTTAGAAATATATTACATTGCTGTCGATGTGGACAGAGTCAGCTCCAGGTAATTGTTGGATGCAGCTCAGAATCCAGCCAGGGCACGGCAGGTGGGGGACCCTGCTTCTCCGGATGCTCCCAGCTGTGCACATCCTGGGGTTCCCAGGGGAACTGCGGCTGGCAGAGTCGGCCTCCTCCAACCTCCTCCCTCCCCGCCTCCCTCCAGATCTTCTTCAGTGACCCGAGCCAAGACCCTGCAGAGGACATCTTCCTCACGGAGCTCAAAATGAAGATCCAAGACTCCAAGATCCCCAGAGGTGAGCGCCTGTCCCCCGTTTTCCAAACCTCACCCTGACTCAGCTTCCCCAAGTCCCTCTTCCAGAAAGTTCTCCTACCTCTCACCTAACGATCCCCTGTCCCACCTCTACTGAATATTGGGGTGCCTGGACTCCCTCCAAGCTCACCCAGACTGAAGGGTAGCCTGGCCCCACCCCCACCCCCACGTGCTGCCTTCCCCTCCAGGGACAGATGCTGTGACTCTCCCACAGCCTCGGTGAGGTGGGGAGCCAGGGGGATGGGATGGGGGCCTCCTACCTTCAGCCTCGTCTCACTTCCCTCAGATGGTTTTTCACCCCGGAGGAGAGGCGTGGCCGAGGGTCCAGGGGCTGAGCTCTCCATCTGCTACCAGAAGGTCAGTGGGCATGGCATGGCCAGGAGCTGGTCCGGACTTACAGCTGCAGGGAGGCAGATGTCAGGGATGTTGTGGGGGCGGGACAAACAGAGCCAGGGGAACCTTCTGCCCTTTCCCCAGCCTTGGGAGAGTTTTGCAGGGATGGGCGGGTTACAACTGGCCTTACACAGAGACAAGGATTGAAGGAACGGGGCGCTATCCCCTGGCTCAAAAATACCCTCCTCACCAGCTGACCAGATGCATCAGAGCACAGTCCTTGGTCTGGAAGCTGACCTGCTCCCAGGGTGGAGTGCTCTGAGCCCCATCCTCTGGCTCATTGGACACTAGTGGCACCATGGCGACTCAGGGCCAGGGGTGGGGCGGTGAGCTAGAGAGTTGACATGGAGATGTGCGCCTTGTCCTGAGGACCTGCATCTGTCCCCACATCCCCCCCTCCGCAGGCCCTGCTCAGCCACCGAGTCCGAGAGGTCACTGTCTCCCTGCGGGCCACTGGGCTGGTCCTGAAGACACTTGCAGCCAGTGACAGTGATGGTGAGGAGCTGGGAGAGCAGAGCAGAGGGAAGGAAGTACAAGAAGGAGGAAGTTGGGGCCGGGAGAGGAGTGAGGGCGGAGCGACAGGAAATGGGTGAGGGGGGCTGGGAGTACCTCCCCGCCACCATCACCATCCCTGGGATCAGAGACCCTGGCTGAGCCCCCACTCCTGCTGGGCCTGGGTGGCATGTCTGCAGCTGGATGAGCCCAAGCTGGAAAGTGCAGGGGCCACGCAGACTGAGGGGTTGGACTTGGCCTCGAGCATCTGCATCCAGCCTGCAGAGCTAGTTGGGGGTAGTTGGGTCTTTTGGGGGTGGTTTTTGGAAATTCATAATTTTGAATGTCATTCCATGGGGCAGGTACTCTCCAGTTCACAAAGGGCACCACTAGTCCAAAGTATCTGATTCTGGCCAGTTACCTAATTACACGTATGTTCAATTAAGATCATTGTCTCAGAGATAAGATACTGATTTATGTGCATCTAGTAAATTATAAATATGAGCCCTCTTGTTAGCTCCCCAATCTTCTGGAGTAATGGAGAGGTTGGCAATGAGAATTACTAACCATTGCCCACGTTCATCAGAAGCCAGGCGCTGTTCTATGTCCAACATATTAACTCTTCTAAGCATATCAGCTTATCAGTGAGATAGACAGTGTTAGCATTAGCCACTTTGTACTGGAGAGGAAACGGAAGCAAAGAAAGTAACTTACCCAAAGTCACATCCCCAAGGAAGAGTCAGAGCCGGGATTCAAACCCAGGAAGTCCCGTGCGAGAGCCGGTGTCCCTCATCACCGCCCCTTCAGCTGCCCAGTCTCAGCAGACCAGACTTCAGGGATGTCACCCACAGGTGCTTGTAAAAAGTCACTTCAGAGCAAACAAGGAAGTTTCCACCCTCCATGTCTAGCTGGTGTCTTGGCACATAGTAGATACCCAATAAAACATTTGCTGACTAAACGAAGTGCTCCTTGACGCCCCAGATTTTGTTTAAAAGAATGAAGGAATCTAGAATATTGCAGAAGAAACAACATGACCGAGCTAGAGTGCCTAGGAGGGAGCCGTCTCTGATCCCCCCTCTCCCAGGCAACTATGAGTAATTACCCTGACCCTAAAAATCTGTGGCTTTGCGAAAATCCAATTAGGACACCTCTCTGTGCATAAAGCATTTGTGTTCTTCTGTGAGCATCTTTGCTTCTCAATTTTCTTGGCTTCCAGCAAAAAGGAGAAACTCAAGACATAATTATTGATTTGATTACCTTCTGATAAAATGGCTTCCAGGCAAGCTGAATTTGTGGAGGACATTGAAACTGTCACAGTGCAGTTTTCCTTACTTGTAGGTCTGTGACACCATGAAGGAGACGTGTGACTTTGGCAATAGCTCTTTAAAGAGAGGTGGTCACAGAGCACAGATCCTAAAACCGGATAGGCAGGCTTTCAAGCCCAGCTGTGCCACTCTACCGTCTGGGTGACCTCGGGCAAGTTACTTGTGACTTCTCCACCTGTTTTTTTCATTTCTAAAATGGAGATAAGATACTAATTTATGGGATATAGTAAACTACAATGTTAACTCTTACTGTTTAAATTTTATTTTTTCTATGTCCTTTACAAAACTCCCACCCACCCATCCCTACTCTAACTCCTCCAAATTTCCCATCACCAAATCTTTCCAGAATTGTTCTTGGCTATCTCAGAGCCCTCCTTAGTCAGCAAGGAGGGGGAAGGCCCTGCGGCAGCCACACAATATTGACTCCTGACACATAATGCGGTATTAGGAAAGTCAAGGAAGTGCTCTCAACCTGTTGGGACAAGTGCCCTCTGACACCCACTGGAGCCTCTGCCTTATACCACATCCTGGGCTCTTCTGCCATCCTGCTGTCTGAGCATGCCCAGTAGTTGCAGAAGAACTTGTTCCCATTAAAAAGGGGTGCAGAGGAGGTGAAGAAAATGATTTGGGTTGGTGATGGCCATGATGCCTCAGGATAGAGGAAGGCTGTGGAATCCCTGGAGGAGGGAGATGGATGACCAGGAGGGAACTGAAACTCAGCCAGGACTAAGGTGGGGGTCAGGACGTGGGGGCCGAGCAGGGTGTGGGAAGGGGGTGGCGGTCAAGATGGGGTCATGGAGGTCTTCTTAAGACATAGAATCTCCAGCTCCCCTCCTCCCCTGGAGGCCCCCTCACAGCATCTCATTCTTCCAGTTTCAGGGCCCACCTACTGCCCCCCAGCTGCTGCTCCCGTTACGGACCACAGGTGCCTGAATGTCAGTGTGACGGAGGTTGTCAAGACCTCCAACTTGGCAGGAAGGTCCTTCTCTGTAAGTGCTGGGCAGGAGGGGAACTGGGGATATTCAAACTGGGGAGGGTGGGGAGCCCGGAGAGACGGTGTTGAGAGAAGGGGTGATGAAGTCTGAGCCTTTCTGAGCCTTTGCTATTGAAGTGGGTTTTCCTATTGGGAAGCCCCTGCTTTCTGATCAGTCTGTTTAAAATACTGAGCACCGACTGGCACAAGTAAGGCCGTGTGAGAGTGAAGGCCCTGCCCTCCACCTGGTGGCCCTCTGAGGACCTAAGACATACCCAAGGACTGCAAGACGCGCCCGCATTCAGCACCCGCTGCGCACAACAGCCAGACTCCAGCACAGCAGTGGGCCAGCCTTTGACCAAATCGAACCAGCTCTTCCAACCTCATGGCCTTGTCACTGCCCTTTGCCCTCTGCCTTAGCCCTAACTGGTCCTCAGAGATAGAGAGTCCCTTATGGATATGGACATACGACCCGCCCACTTTCTCCCTCCCTCCTGGCCTCTCTGGACTTCACTGCCCTACTCAGCTGGGCTTTGGACCCAGGATCACACCTGAACTGTGTTCTCTGGCAGCCACAACTCCTCCCATCACCTACCAAGCAGAGACGCTCACTTTAGATCAAGCCGCTGACTCAATCAGATGCTCAGGTGGCTGAGTGCTTCTGCGATATCCTACATCCATGCCGATCAGGGCCACTGCAAACTCGTAACCCCCCACCTCCTCCCCATCCCTGCATCACTCAGCCCCTCTCTGTGCCTCACTCTCATGATCTGGAAAGCGGGGATGATAAGGGTACCTGCCTCATCCAGTTGTGAGGATTAAATGGTGGTGACAGGTACAGAAGATGCTCAGCCAAGTCACAGCTATGTGTGTGTTAGTGGCTGTTTTTATTTCTTCCCCTCCTCCCTCGTGTCCCATCTCTCATTCAATGGTCCGCCATTAACCACTCACCTTTCCCAGAAACCTGGGAGTCACCTCGGATGCCTCCTCGGCCTCACTTCCCTGTGTCTGCTGCTTTTCCCTCTCAGACACTTCTCACACCTCTCCCTTCCTCTCCCTTCCTCTCCATCCTCCCTCGGGTCCGGCTAGGTTGACCAGCCGTCCCAATTTGCCTGGGACTGAGGGGTTTCCTGGGACCTGGGACCCTCAGTGCTGCAACCAGGAGAGTCCCAGGCAAACCAGGACAAATTGGCCACCCTTGGGCCCGACCTTCATCCACCCCCTTTTCCTGGACAATGCGGTCGCCTCCCAGCTGGTCTCCCTGATGTCACTCCAGTGCTCCCCAAATCCGCCCTCCACATCTCTGCCCGAGCGAGCTTTCTGAAACAGAACTCGACACGTCACTCTGTGCTTGACACCGCTCGCCCGTTTCCCGCTCTACAGGGCAGAAGGGCAGAAGCACTTTATCGTGTGCATGTTATGTAGCCTGGCTCCTCCTCCTCCTCTCCGACTGCGACCCCGGCCAGCCCTGCACGCCCTTTGCACCGTGGGATTTGTGCCACCAAACCAGTTTTGGGTCCTCTCACCCGCGCATGGCGGAGCCGATCTACTGACACCGGGCTCTGGTGAAGGAAAGTGCCACGTTTACTGCAGGGCGCCCAGCAAGGAGTCCAGGGCGGCTAGTGGTCAAAACACCCGAACTCCCCGAAGGGCTTCAGGAGAGCATCTTTGAAGGGCATGTGAGGGAGGGGAGTCGCCAGGTTGGTGATCACTCGTGCACAATCCTCTGGTTGATGGTGAGGTCAACGTTCAGGGGTTAACATTATCCACCCTTAGGCGCCAGCAGGTATGGGGGGCTGCCTGCTCACGATCATCAGGTAGTTAATTTCTTCCATCAGCTGGTGATTTTAGCATCTGTAAAACAGCTCAGGAAATGTGCATCAGTTACTGATGTCTGGGTACTGCAGAGAGGAGCTATCTGGGGGAGGAGTCTGCCCGGGAGGGCCCCATAGGGTCCTGGTAGTCCTTCCTTGGTGCCTTGGCTCATGCGCTTTGCTTGGCCTGAAGCCTCGTTCCTTCCTTGCTCTTCCCCATCTTCCTTTCATAACCCCTGTTCCTCTTTCAAGATGATGTCATCTTCCCCAGGAGACCCTTCCCTCCACATCCTCCACCCTGCTCCCCACTCCCCAGAGAGCCAGGGGCCCCACCTCTGGGCTCCCGCAGAGCCCTGGGGACACAGCCAGGGGAGCGCTTGCCGCACTGTCGATGATGTGGCCCCCGCAGGTCAGTGGACTGCACGGCCCCTGGGCGCAGGCCCTGTCTCAGCCCTCCCCGTTCCACCCGCACTCAGGGTGGCGAGCGGTCCCCAGCAGGGGCTCGCCAGGGGTTTCCTGGTCCTCTAGTCCAGCCGCCACCCCTGCAGGAGCCCACTTTTCTGAGGCAGCCTGTGTACTGTGGGGAAGCTCCGTATTCGAGCTTTAAGCTCCAGAGTGGACCTATTTACCCTTCTGTGTTTCCTCTTTCAAAATCAGTTCCCTACAATGGTTTCTATTTTTAATGACCTCTTTAAACAACCTGGTTGTGGGTTTTTTAAAAATCGAAGCTTATCACTGCAGTGAGTTCCCTTTTACCCCAGGACCATCTCGCTACCTGCAAGGTAGTTGCTATTATTGCTGTATCTTTTTCTAAATAGGTGAGAAACAAAAGCACAGAGAGATCAAGAATTACATCCAAGGTCACACAGCGAGTAAATGGCAGAGTCAGGATGAGAATGTGGGTGGTCTGGGTGCAGAGTCTGTGCTTTGACATCCGCCCCCCAACACTGGGAAGATTCTTGTACCTTCTACCCAGAGACTTCGGGCTGGCCTACCCAACCCCCTACAAAAGTTGAGCAGAAATGCCCAGGCATGCCTGACCCCTGGGTTCAGCCTCTGCTTGCGCCTCTGCTAATGGAATGGGAAGGCGGACCAGCACTGCCTGCAGTAGGGAGCGTGTGAAAACTGCACGGGGCCTGTGCTGGCCTCCAGACCACTTAAATCGGAATCTCTAATTTTGGAGGGGAGGGTATAGCTCAGTGGTAGAGTTTGTGCTTAGAAGGTGCAAGGTCCTGGGTTCAATCCTCAGTACCTCCACTAAAATATACATAAATAAATAAAACCTAATTACCTACCCCCCAAAAAAGAAAAAAAGACAAAAGCAGAGTCTCTAATCTTATGTTTCGGAAGGGTGAGTCCAGGGTCGAGAATTCTTGAATGAAATGGGGTCTAAGGCTGTAGGAACTTGAGAGCTCTGTGCTGGTGAATCACCCAAAGCTGCTGTCCAGGCAGTGGGCCAGTGGCCAGAAAGGCCCTCAAAGCCCCACCTGGAACCCAGACGGTTCCAAATTCTCTGTCCGGGGGAGGGGTCTCCCAGGAGCAGCCCCTTCAGGTTGGGGGTGGGAGGGCTGCCTCGGGGCTGCTTTCCGTGCAGGGCTCTGCGTGTGGAAGGCAGGAATGCTTTGCCCCCAGGTTCCCGGTGCAGAGGATGGATTCCTTTTGCCCCGAGATGCTTCCATGGTACAAACAGATAGAGGCCTGGTTTGAGTCATGGGGGTAAGTGGCCACTTTCCAGACCCTCTGTCTCTGCCCCAGGGAAATAATTTTGGATGCAATCCAACACTGAGAACTGGGGTCAGGACTTAGAAAACTTCTGAAAGATCCCCAAATTCCACACATTAACACGCCTGTCATACAGGAGGTACTCGGGTCACTTGAACCTGGCGGGCACCAGCTACAGCGTTCCAGGTTGTGTTAGAAATGAACAAATTGGAAAAGGAACTGCAGGAATGACGGGAGAGCCAAGGGCAGGGGCAGCCTAGAAGCACTTTCTGCAGGGTTGTCACTGCTCAGAGTCACTTCCCGGAGAGTCAGGGACACTGTGTGCTGGACTGAAACACACCAGATTCCCAGGTAGGAGATGTTGGTCAGGCCATCTGTCACCAAGGTGATGCTCACACAAACTGTCTCTGTTGCAGACAGTGACAAACACCTTCCGGACGGCCAGCATCCAGATCCAGAGCCAGGACCAGAGGCTGCTGACACTGTCGCTGGACAAGGACGGTCGGCGCACTTTCAGGGATGTGGTCAGGTAAGGCTGGGCTCCATGCCCACTGGGCAAAGCTCCACAGCAGCCAACCCCTCCCACCTCCTGCCTTTAGCCTGGAAGCCTTGTCGGGGCAGATCCTGTGGCCAGGCAAGTGTCCCTGATGGGCGTGGACTTAGGTGTTGACTTACATCCAGGAGGAAGAGCAAATGAATGGCTGACCCTGGGCAGCAGCTGAGATTAAAGTTTCCCAAGATCCCTCTACAGATGCTTGGCCTGTAGCCCTCCTGATCCAACCCCCTGTGCTGGCACTGCCCGCCCTCTGTGCCAACACAGGCTGACCTTCTGTGACAGCCATGTCCCAGTTACTGGGCTCCCCTAGGGAGGTGTATTTGGGTCAGGCAGGCACACAGAGTGACCCATCCGGGCATGTCCTCCTCTCCCTGTGTTCGCCCCAGGCTCAGGGTGCTCTTTCTTGTCTTGACTCTTTCTCATCCCTCTGTGGGTCCCCCTCATCTATACCCTGCAATTAAGGGGCGACCTTTAAAATGCCCAGGCAGATTTGACCCCAGAGATGGGTCTCCTGAGCTGGCCTCTCTCCTTCCACAGATTCGAGGTTGCTCCCTGCTTAGAGCCATGTTCCGGGGCCCAGAAATCCAAGGTGCTTAGTTCACATCGGCAGGAGATGGAAAGGACCAAAGCCAAGGCCAAGCCCCTTCTAATGCCCATCAACACATTCTCTGGCATTATCCAGTGAGCCCAAAAGGGCCACAGAATCGCTGAGTCCAAGAGCAGTGGATCCATGAGGAAGGATACACTACCCAACTCACCCCCAAACACCCACACCAACATCCAGAGCAAGGCCCAGCTCCCGTGGGAGGCTTTGAGCCACTTCTAGAAGCCAGCAAGTGCCCAGAGCACAGAGAGCTGGCTGTGGGGGTGTGATGGAACAGGGCCCACACGAAGGCCCCAGGAGGCCCTAGCCAAACTGCACACGCAAAGCCCTGGGACCCGTGTGTGCTCCGTGGATTTCCAGTTCCCGCCTCTCCACTGTCTTCTCCCACCCAAGTTCCCCGCTTGGCCCTTAAAACCAAGGTGAGAGCTGCTGTCCTGGCCCTGGGCCCTGCGGCCTGGGGAAAACAGGAAGCAGGCAGAGGCTGCTACGCCTCCCACCTCCCAGTCTGTTCCCATCCCTGTCTCAGGCCACTGCTCACCTTGCCCACTCCCAGGCGGGCGTCTCTCCAAGTGGTGAGGAAGATGTCAGATTCAATAAATATATAAATAAATAAATAAATAAATAAACAAACAAACAAACAAACACTAAAGTGTTTCTGCTTTCACCTGATACCCAGCAATGCTTGTGTTTTAATAGAGATCGGGGGCAGTACTTAGTCAAACCTAATGACTTCGGCCAGGTAAGAGAGCTTCGTGAAGTGTTCACTGGTATGTTCTGTCTACCTGCACGGCCCTCTCCTCCTTCACATTAACTGAGGGGCTCCTGACCTGCGCTGTCCCAAAATGGAGGTAGGCATGCCGGCTAGTTTCAAAGATTAAAGACACCAAAATTCTTGGCTTTTGAGTTCAGAAACTTAGATCCAGATGTAAGGCCGTTCCTATCACCTGGGCAGTCCCAGGGGATGGTGGCCGTGGGATGGAAGAGTCCCTTCCAAGTTTGGGACCCAAGAGTAGAGAGGGAGGCCCTTCGCTTGTGGCCTCATTGCCCCAGGAGTGGGGGCTGGTTTCAGAGCACATTCTCAATGCCTGGGTGGGGGGTGGGGGGGCTGCCAGGCAGGGTGAGGGGGGTTAGGCTGATGAGCCCAAGAGCCAGCCTTGAAGAGAGTCCTGAGCTCCCATGGACATGGGAAGCAGGTCAGGTTTCTCCGGGTCCTTAAAACAAACAAGCCCAAGGGGTCTCTCAGTGAGAGGGAAGAGATGCAGCTGTGAGCGGTAGCAGGGACCACAGGGCCTGAAGCCCAGATGTGGACGGTGCCGCCCAGGACCACCCGCAGCTGTCAGGCCCTCCCTGGGGATCATCTCCCCTGAATAAAATTGTGTCGCCTACTTGCATCTGATGCAGGAAGACGGATGTGGGGCATGAGGAGGGCCGTGTCCCAGGTCTCGGTTGAGCCCCTGGCACGTGCCCCGCCAAGTGTGGGTCCTTGGCTTCATGCGGGAAAGATTTCAAGTGCGAGCCACAGTTGAGTAAAGGTAGATTTATTAGAGAGATACTGCATAGAGTGTAAGGCAAGAGAAAGGCAAGGAAAGAGGTGTGGGAACTGGGTGTTCAGGTTAAAGTAAAAATAGATACGCACTCCACAGACAGAGTGTGGGCCGTCTCCAAAGAGAAGGGAGTGTGAAAGGGCCGCTAGGTGTGGTGTTGCCAGTTTTTATGGGCTCGGCAGCTTCACACACCTACGGTGGGACCATTCCAACTGCCCCGGGGAAGGGGCTAGGAGTCCCGGGAATTGGGCCGCTGCTCATTCTTTGGCCGTTTGCTGTTACCCTTGGGACTGTCATGGCGCCTGCAGGCATGTTATCATGCTGTTACAATGAGCATGTAATGAAGCTCAAGGTCTACTAGAAGTCAAACTTCCTGCCAACTTAATCCTCAAGGCCAACTGGGAGCTGAATCTTCCACCATTTTGGTGTTAAATTGCCTTCATTCCTTGAATGGCTGTGTCCTGCTCCCTTCCATCCTGTCTCACATCCATCAAACAGTTCTAGGCCCTTTGATTCTGATGGAGACAATCAACAGTGTGGTCCTAGATCAGGGGGCCTGTGAGTGGTGGTGGGGGGAGGTTCATACCATGAATTCCATTCTCACTCTCCCTCCACTCCTGTTACTTGCCTGAAGCAGTTCAGGGATCTAACTCAGATTCGTGTGCGACCCGGGGCCCTGGAGGGTGGCTCGGAGCGCATTC